GGGATCGCACCTAATCCTAGCACTGTTTCAGGCGGAGTTTGGGAAACAGACTACGAATGAGTTAGAGGTATTCATAGTCAACGTTAGTTAATACGTGACCTAAAGTGTAGTACATTCTGCCAAATTGGTGCTACACATTGTGAGATGAAATCAAACAAATCAGTGAGTAAACAGAAATGAAAAATAATTTTATCATTAATGGTGAAAAAATCTACGCGAATACAGTCGAGTCAGTCACTCAGTCAGTCAGTCAACAACAACATAGAACTTCATATGTACGTACGTACATTAGGGTTCAAACTGCCATACCACATTAGCACACAGAGACGCAATTGTCAATTCAAATCCCATAGTAGTAGAGGTAGTGGAGGTATTAGCAGTAATCGGAGAGATTAAGGTTCGACGATGTAATTCAAGAAGTATAATCTAGTGAAATAAATTTAAAACGAGGGAGATAAAGGTGATGAGGAACTCTGAAGGTTAGAATTTGTGAGAACACCAAGAATGAATACACTTGAGCCAATGCAAATAATTTTGAGCCATGTCATTCTGTGTCTCTCTAACCAAACAACTTTCAACCAAAATCAGGATTTTCAATACAAATGTCAAGACAGTTCTACTGTATAGAGCGGAAACTTGGAGAACTACCAAAGCCATCATCTAGGAGATACAAGTATTAATTAACAGCTGTCTACGCAAAATACTTCGGATTCGTTGGCCAGACACGATCAGCAACAACATACTGTGGGAGTGAACAAATCAGGTTCCAGTGGAGGAGGAAATCAGGAAGAAGCGGTGGAAGTGGATAGGACACACACTGAGGAAAGCACCAAACTGTGTCACAAGACAGGCCCTCAATCGGGACCCTCAAAGCCAAAGGAAAAGAGGAAGAAGAAGGAACACACTACGCCAAAAAGTAGAGAAAGATATGAGAAGAATGAACAGAAATTGGACAGAACTGGAGAGGGAAGCTCAGGACAGAGTTGGTTGGAGAAAACTGGTGGGCGGCCTATGCTCTATTGGGGGTGGTGACAGGCATAAGTAAGTAAGTAACCATCGATTAATATCATATCGCAGGCCCCAACCAACATGGCTCAGTCCAATTGTCAGTGACTTCTTTGATTTCTGCCATGTTTTGGTTTGGCTTGAATGTGCAATGTTAATGAGTAGTAGCCTCCTATCAGGACGGCAACAGCCATCCATTGCTTTCAGGTTTCTAATGCGTGTTTGTCTAACATGGATCGATTCATGATTTCAATACTGAGTATTATTCTCAAGAGTTTTGCATTGAATTGCGTGCACTAAATATTGATGATTCTTCATTCTCTCCCCATGTGTGTGTATGTACGGTATGTACGGAAGAGTTTTTGGAGGTTTGTGTTTCTGCACGCTTGAAATCATCAATCAATCATTGTTGTTAGACAGAGCAGCATTAGAAACCTGGAAGCACTGAAAGATGGCACCGTTTCGTCCTGGTATGGGACTCATCACTCAGTGGCAGTGCGCATCCACGACTCCTGCCAAAGACAAATATGTGAGGTCATGACCCCACCGAGCTATTCTGGCTGGAACATATGTTGCTGTAGGTTCTACCATGCCAGAAAGGTCGATTAGAGAACGATGAGACTAAAAGCAGCTACCCAAGGTCTGAGGGCGAAGTCGTACTGCTGACTGCAGAGGGGTGAGACAGCTGTAAGGTGTTTCCCTCGGATAACCAGCATCTGCAGCAATGCCACCTTCTCACAAGGAAGGGTGGGGTTAGAAAAGTTCGCCGCTAAAAATGTCACACCTCACCCTACCTCACGGATTTCCGTCTCTGGCAGTAAGAGTGCCCACCAAGAGCTTTCAAGTGCGGAGCTAATCCTCAAAAAACCTTTCATCAAAAGGCCGTGCGTTACCCGCTTGAAGCAGTTGTCCCTTGGGTACTGCGGTCACGCACCCAGATAACCGCCCTCATACCCGTAACAACACACGAGACCAAATTGGTCAAAATCAAAAATTCTTCATTCTCTCCCCATATGTGTTGTTAGACCACCATTAGAAACCAGGAAGCACTGACAGACAGCCGTTTCATCTTGGTATGGGACTCATCACTCAGTGGCAGTGCGCATCCACGACTCCTGGCACCTCGCAGGATTTTGAACCCTGGACCTTCGGTGTTTTGCAGCGAACGTCTAACCATCGGACCACTGGTCCGGAACTAACGGTGTTAAAGTCCAACTGTGATTGATCTACGGATTTTTACGCAACCTCACCCATATTTGTCTTTGGAAGTTACTGCCTACACCCGACAGGGTTGAACTCTATTAGTCACGTCTTCTCAACTAGAACTCCGAGGATTTCCTCACGAAGAGGCTAGTCACTACTAGTAAGCACTGTTACGATATTTTCGGGCAGAGTTTTGGAGGTTTTGTGTTTTTACACATTTGAAATCATCCATCAATCAATCATTGTTAGACAGACCACCATTAGAAACCTGGAAGCACTGAAAGATGGCACCGTTTCGTCCTGGTATGGGACTCATCACTCAGTGGCAGTGCGCATCCACGACTCCTGGCACCTCGCATGATTTTGAACCTGGGACCTTCGGTATTGTGCGCGAACGCCTAACCATGGGACCACTGAGCTGGCCCGGCTGGTATCCAACGGTGTTAATGTCTAACTGTGATTGATCTATGGATTTTTGCGCGACCTCACCCATATTTGTCTTTGATAGTAGTAGTTAGTTACTGCCTACTTCACCCGACAGGGTTCTCATTACTTGTTCATTTTCTTTTTGTTATTGTTATTGTAGGTATTTTTCGGTGATTTAGAATCAGTCATCTCATATGAAGGTTGTGAGCATAGATCATCTACAGTGGATCCATTTTTAGATCTTTCATTAGATGTGATACAACGTGGTTCTACTTCATTGCAAGCTTGTTTGAAGTCGTATTTTCGACCAGAATTAATTGATGGTTTAATCTGGTGTTCACAGTGTAATATTGGTCGACCAGCTGTGAAACAATTTAGTTTACTTCATTTACCAAATGTTTTATGCTTTTATTTGAAGGTATGTGGTTGGTTGTTGGTTGTTGTTGGTGTGTGTGTGCGTGTGTCTGTGTGTAGACATACAATTGTGAGTTGATTTTGCATTATCGTACGTACGTACGTACATCACCCCAAGTTGTCACACCACATTAGGACACAGAGAGATAAAACTGTCAGGTTGAAACCAATAGGGGTAGTAGTAGTGTAGTGAACGAGAACACAGGCGGGGCAACCGGATTGTGTTTAACGGAAATTACAGAGTTACTCGTAAATCGTTCATTTGCAAATTATCAGTCCATCATATCGAACTGGACTGTTCCTGTTGCAAAACATCAATCCATTGTCACTATTCATGAGTTTCCTACAAATTCCATTGTGTTCTTCTAACTCTTCCTTTCTTGATCTTCCCGCATATTATGCTTCCAGACATTACGTTGACACACACGTCATATACTACTTATAAGTAGTAGACGTATTAGGAGTAATAGAAAAAAGATGACGGTTCGAAGCAGTTATTCAAGAAGTATAATCCAGTGAAATAAATTTAAACCAATAGAGTCTGACTGTAGAGGGCTGTGACAACAGTAAGGTGTTTTACTCGGACAACAAGCATCTGCAGCGATGCTGCTTTCTCACAAAGAAGAAGGAAAGGTTTTGTAAAGATTGACCGTAAAATTGTCACACCTCACCTTAAAACACAGATTTGTCTTCGGCGGTAAGTTCTCTTGAAGAGTGGAGCCAGCACTTTAAAAACTTCTTATAAAAAGGCCGTGTGTGACCAGCCTCAGGCAGTTGTCCCATGGGCTCTGTGGTCACGCTCCAAGCTCTCTAAAACCAACTCTGCAAGCATACTTGGGATGCGGTTCTCCGCTTCCAAATGTGAAATTTCGCTTCAGGATTGGGTTGCATCAGCGAACTATCTGAACTAGCGATAGGTAGTGAAGCGCGAGTCTCATCAGTTCTGATGGTCTGACGAAATCTCAGTGCGTATACAGAAAACTCGATTGACTTCTGCCAACTTGCGTCACTTATGGCGTAGGCGAGATATCTTTTTTCTAACCAAAGAACGAGTGTATTGCGCAGCTATTCGCTCCGTCCTACTATATGGCTGTGAAACATGGTCAGTAAGAGTAGGAGTTATTTGTAGGTTACTGGTTTTCAATCATAGGTGTCTCCGAAGCATTGCTTGTGTATCCTGAACAATCGAGTAAGCAATGCTATAGTTAGGAAACGAGTGACTAGGTAGAGATGGCAGATAAATTGATGAAATAGTGAAACTTCATCAGTTGAGGTAGTTGGGACATTTGTTACGTATGCCTTAACCACCGACTGCCTCGTCAAGCTGTGCTTTGTGATGTAGGAATAAGTTGGAAGAAAGCTAGGGACGGCTAAGCCAAAACGTGGTAGAAATCCATCAAGTCATTGACAACTGGATTGAGACATGTCGGTAGGTGTCGACTACCTGGTTGAGGTCCGCGAGATGATAATAATCGATGGTTAGAGACCTTGCGTGACATGGCTCATAACCGTTTGCAGTGGCGCAGGTGCATACACTCTTTGTGTTTTCTCAAATCCTAATCTTCCGAATCCCTCATAACCTTCATCTTTCTCTTTTCAAATCTATTTCACTGAATAATACTTTTTGAATAACATATATTCGAACCCAACTCGTCTCCATTACCGCTAATACTTCTACTGTCTCTACTACTATGGGATTTGAGCTGACAGTCACACTCAGACAGGTCCTGGAACATAGACACACATTTAGGCGTCCTACAATAGTTGTTTTCCTAGACCTTAAGGCGGCATTTGACTCTGTTGATCGTAAGGTTCTGTGGCAGTGTGTGTCATTGAAAGATGTACCAAAGAAGTACATTAACCTTATACAAGCTCTTTACTCGAACACCACTGGTCGAGTGAGAGCTTATGGCGAACTGTCACCGGAATTCTCTACATCAAGTGGTGTCCGTCAGGGATGTCCACTTTCTCCATTCTTGTTTAATTTTATCATAGACATGCTCCTAGACATAACATTATCCTCGTCTGAATTTTCAGGAGTAGACCTTCTACCAGGTGGCTCGCTTATTGACTTAGAATATGCCGATGACATAGTCCTATTTGGTGAAGACGCTGACAAAATGCAGAGTCTTCTGACTACCCTAAGCAACAACGGAAGCATGTTCGGGATGCGGTTTTCTTCCTCGAAATGCAAAATGTTGCTTCAAGACTGGGTTGTATCGGCACCTGAACTAGTGATAGGGAGTGAAGTAGTCGAACGTGTAGACCGCTTCACTTATCTTGGGAGTCTCATCAGTGCCGATGGCCTAGTGACTGACAAAATCTCAGCTCGGATACATAAGGCTCGATTGGCTTTTGCCAACCTGCGTCACTTATGGCGTAGGCGAGATATCCGTTTGCTGACTAAAGGACGAGTTTACTGCACAGTGGTTCGCTCCGTCTTACTTTATGGCTGTGAAACATGGGCAGTGAGAGTAGAAGATATTCGTAGGTTATTGGTTTTCGATCATAGGTGTCTTCGAAGCATTGCTCGTATATCGTGGGACACCCGAGTGAGCAACGCTGTTATAAGGAATCGGGTGCTAGGTAAGAATGGCAGATCAATAGATGAAGTAATGAAACTGCATCAGTTGAGGTGGTTTGGACATGTGTTGCGTATGCCCAACCACCGACTGCCTCGTTGAGCTTTGTTTTGTAGTGTAGGAATAGGTTGGAAGAAAGTTAGGGGCGGTCAAACCAAAACATGGCAGAAATCCATGTACTTATGTACAAAGTTCTACGTTGCATCTGACTGAGCTGACAGTTGCATCCCTCTGTGTATTAATATGAAATGGCAACGTGAACTAATGTATGTACGTACAGAATTCTAAGTTGTAGCTAACATGTATATATATATATATATATATACGTATATTCTTACTCCTCATCTATCATTCATTCATTGTTCAAGCGTTGTCATCATGACACCAAAATCAATACATCAATCACATTCCCAATTGAATTGGATATGGCTCCGTACTTACATCAAATTGTTGGTGATCAATCAGCTTGGTATGATAAGTAAGTTCATTATTATTATTATTATTCATGATAAATTATTTTGAAATGCTAACATTAAAAACAAACAAATTTATCAAATAATACTTTTGTGTTCAATGTTGATGCGAATTGAAAAAAATTAGGTTAGGCATTCGCGCACAATACCGAAGGTTCGAATCCTGCGAGGTGCCAGGATTCGTGGATGCGCACTGCCACTGGGTGATGAGTTGTCCCATACCAGGACGAAACGGTCGTCTTTCAGTGCTTTCAGGTTTCTAATGGTGTTGGTCTAACAATGATCAATTGGTAATTCCTCCTATACATGTATGTTTTGTGGTTGCTGGTGTTATGTCGTTTCATTGTTAGATAAGGTTGTATGTAAAGAGTAATGTGTATGTATATATGCTGGTATACTATTCGTGTTTTAAATTTTCAACTAATTTACCATCGTCATGAAGTTCCCTGGTAATAACGCCAAGTTTGTTCACTTAGTGTGATCCTTAACATAATGGAATGCACCGGTAAATGTGTCTGGTTCTCTAGCTTTTGCACAAACTAAGCGCTGCGTCATATTTCCCTCCGTGTTTTCAACCACAACGTGTCCCAGGTTCGAACCCTGTTCTGTCTATTACAGTCTGAGCAACTGATTGTTTTTTTGCCCACAATATGCATGTGGGTGTGCGTATACATATTTTAATTAAACCATTGAAATACCACTGTTACGTCATGATCGTGTTTCATGTTTTCTGCATTTCTAGATATTCCCTGTATGCTGTATTAAATCATAGTGGTCAAACTAATTCCGGTCATTATACCGCTTATATACGTGTTGGACCAAGTGCTTGGTGCCTTTGTGATGATCAAAAAGTTGTCTCAGTTAATTTAAACGATGTTCTACACACAGATGCTTATGTGTTATTGTATCATAAAAATTTATTGGCTGTACGCATTTAACTATTTTTCTTCTGTCTTTCTCTCTTTGTCTGTCTGTCTGTCTGTCTCTCTCTCTGGTGCCCGTGTACGTGTTCGTGGGTGTGTGTGTGCACGCATGTATGCGCAATCGATTCTCCCATCAGTCTTTGAGGAATGTTTCCCTGTTTTGTACAGTAGAGTACAGTGCAGTGCAGTACATTGTGTCACTGTGTGTTGTGTTTTCTTTTGATCCTCACTGATGATGATGATCTGTTTTGTTTCAGGTGTTTGCTTTCATTTTTTCCCCAACCATATATAAAATCATAGTGTTAGAGTGTCAGTTTATATCAGTAGCAGTATTAGTCATTCGAAAAAAAACCAATTGTCTTTCATATATTGATTGATCGGTTGAGCACAAAACACATTATCAACGTAGAGATTTTCTTTCGCCTTTTATATTCTTTCTTCTCCGCATTTCTGATCGTCACGTTCATCGACAACGATAATGGCTAATAGTTTGGTTTGGGTTAGGGTTGAGTTGTTTGTATTTGCTCATGTCCCCTTTGTTCTTTCTTGTTATTGGTTCCTTGTGGATTTGTGTCGTTCGTGTAGACATCTCTATCTCTCTCTCTCCCTGTGTGTGTGTGTGTGTACATTTTCAGTATTTACCAAACTCTTCTTTTTTATTTTTACAACTTCAATGTATCTTTCAGTGTGTCTTTTCTTGTCATGGTTATTTATTGTTACTGCTGTGCTTATCTCTTCTCATTCTTCTGTATGTACACGTACAACTTATCTGTGTTGATATAAAACGCAATTCTGTTTGTTATATGGTATTATGTAATATATATGAGGAAGGAAAATACATGTTTATCTGTCTCTTTCTGTTATGAATACACGTCAGTGGATACGCTTGAACTATTATTGCAAGTTCACCTTAGTCAGTAGACAAGAGTGAGGATCGATGACCCGGTGACTTGACAGGCTACTCTAATCCGAGCATCCCAAACTCCCCCCCTATCGAGTAGAAGAAGAAGAAGAAGACTTGATATGAACGTGTATTCTACAAACATCCAGAAAGTATGAGGTCCGAGTTCAGAAGATGTTAAGGATTCGGGTCACAAAACATTACAGATAATGTGTATGTATAAAGTTAGGTCAAATAGGAAACAACATTTGAAGTATGTGACATTGACAATTAGGATGACCAATAGAATTAGACTTACAAATAATCATCTTAGGATATTGGATGAATATCCTAACACTTTCTCTCCATGTCTCTGTGTGTGTTGTGTATGAATGTGTTATACACCCGATTTCGGCCTTTTAAATGTCGAAAAATTCAATTTTACTCAATTGCAACATGCTCTTTTGAAGATTTTACGCGGAGTTAAACTTAAACATATCGTCAGGTTATATGTATAGTATACGTGATTACTTAGTTACACTTTTTACCTCTCGTGGAGCATTGGCCACCGACCAGTTTTCTCCAATTAACTCCACTTGGAGCTCTTCTAGGATTATTACCCGTCCCAAGCCTGTATAAAGGAGAACGGTTATGAACACGTGAAAAACAACCTTGCTGGAAAACCAATCACTTACCAGAAACTTTCATTTTAAGGTTGTGGGAATTGTTGAGCTTTATTTAAAATAATGGATCAATCGATGCTAACCCACTGTTATTACAAGTACTGGAAACACTCACTGGACGTCCGTGTCATCCTAGTATAAGTTTAGTCATCAGCGGCAGTGAGCGTCCACGACTCCCGCCACTTGCAGGATTCGAACCCAGGGCCTTCGGTTTTGCTCGCGCGAACGCCAAACGACCCAGCTGGCACTCAGTGATTCTTTCATTTCAAACATAATATATACAATAATTATTGATAGACCTGCACTCAATATAAACTACGCCTGGAGCCTCTATGTGGCTACTACCTGTCCCAAGCCCGAAAGGTTGGGTGTAGGGTTGTGGTGTGTGCTACTTATACGAACGATATAAGTAGTATAAGAAGGGACGTGAAAGAAGAAGTCTCAAGGTCACAAGATTAAAACGGAAAGCAAATGGAGCAAAAGCAAGAAGAAAATGGAGTACCAACAGGAAGTACAGGAAGCAACAACAGGAATGGACGAAGAAGGATGGAGCGTTGGGAGTCACGACTCAAAGATGGTGTGCAAATAGAGTGTTCAATGTAATGTTTTCGTTTTGTTGGGCAATTCCTCCTCAAATATAGCATTTATTATTTCTTCCACCTCGCGTTGTAATTCTTCTATCTTCGCGACATCAGCCTGTCTCTCACACGCCACCGAGGCGACTGTTGAGTTCATCAGCTGTCTTGTTACTTTAGCCAGCTCGGTGACGTCCATTGGTTGTGCCACGTTCACCAGTCTCAGCTGTTGGGCAACCTCTGCAGGCACACTTTCAATGAATTGCGACGCTAGCAGCTGTGCTTGCGACTCCTCATCCCAATCCGGCAGACCCCATCGCAGCAATCTTGTCAACTCCACAGCCAGCACGAGTGGGTCGTCATCCACCGTCAGTCTCGCCTCTCGGAACTTCTGCAGTGCGTCCTGCCTATCCGCCGGGCTGTCGAACTCCACCAGCAGCCTCTCCGTCACCACCGCCCAGTCAGCGTCCTCCACACCATCGTACACCGCTCTCGCCCTGCCTCTTAGTAGGGTCCCCAACACCACCGCTTTCGCCCTTCGTTCCTTGACTCCGACCAGCTCCGCCGCGGCCTCGAACTCCTCCAAGAAGCTCCTTACATCTCCGTCTTCAAACTCCTGACGCCATGGGATCTTCATCCTGTGTTGAGGTAGCGACACCAATTGAGAAGACTGAGGCAGGCTCGGAAGATTGTATTATGCAAATTTACACTGAGTCAATTGAAAACGAAAACATTACATTGAATACTCTATTTGCACACCATCTTTGGGTCGTGACTTCCAACGCTCCATCTTTCTTCTTCCATTCCTGTTGTTGTTTCCTTTCCTTCCTGTTGGTACTCCTCCATTTACTTCTTGCTTTTGCTCTATTTGCTTTCCGTTTTCCTCTTTGACCGTGAGACTTCTTCTTCTTTCACGTCCCTCCTTATACTACTTATATCGTTCGTATAAGTAGCACACACCACAGGGTTAGTAACCCCATCCTTTAGAAAATTAACGGTAACCAGAAAAAATGCTTCAATTAAATGTACTCCATACAGCCTAACTTTTAAAATACTGATTAAGATACAAATATATAGTAACTATTAACATTCAAAATGAAAGTCTAAGTGAAAATTAAACTCCAATACATATCATCTGTTCGCCTATTTACTTACTCTTTTGAGGTGAAGACCGGTGTCAGGCAAGGTTGCTTACTCTCATCTTTTCTCTTTCTCCTATTTGTTCACTGGATTATGAAGACGTCGACATCTGGAGGAAAGCACAGGATACAGTGGACAGCTAGGATGCAGCTGGACTTTGCATATGATCTGGCTCTTCTAACGCACACGCAACAATAAATGCAAGCGAAGACAACCAGTGTATCCGCAGCCTTTGCATCAGTTGGTCTCAATAGACACAAAGGAAAAAATCAAGATCCTTTGATACAACACAACATGCACCAACCAAATCACTCTTGGTGGAGAAGCTTTGAAAGATGCGAAAACCTTTACATATCTGACCAGTATCATTGATGAACAAGTTAGTTGTGATGCAGATGTGAAAGCGCTTACCTGCATAACAAAAGCAGCATTTCTACAATTGGCCATCATCTGCAATTCAAAACAACTATTAACCAATATACACATGAAAGTAACGAACATCAACAGGATACAACTGAAAAGGAGGGCGTAGCCTTTTGCTCCATTGGAGGTAAAACTGACTTAAGTAAACAAGTAAATGACATCTAGTTTGTTCTCTCCCACTATAGGTTGTTGCTGATAATCCCTGGCCAACCTCTTCTCAGTCAGTATTTTGTGGAGTTCGTCTACAGTTGCTTCCAGATACTGGAAAACAGTTGAGCATGCAATTAGCGATCACTATCCCATAGAAAAGCAACTTGCCTAAATTAAAAACGCTATCACTAACTAACTATAATTAAAAATCAAAACTGACGCTTCCTTCATTTCTTGTGTGAATCAATTATTTCTCATGTTTTTATAACACAATGTGTAACTTAACAATCTTCACAACAACCCCGTAATACAAATTACCTGTGCTCACTAGTGAGTGACTAGCTTCGTGAGGAGAATGTTCTCCGAGTTCTAGTGGGAAGACGTGACCACTGTGAAGTTCAACCTGTTCGGGTGTAGACAGTAACTACTACCGAAGACTGTGTATAAGGTTGCGTAACTCCGTGAATTGGATCAAGTTAGACATTAACACCGTTTGGATACTGGCTTAGTGGTCTAACGGTTAGGGCGTTTGCGCACTATA